TAAAGTAGTATCTATTTCTATGACCTATTGTGTTCCTACCATGCATCAGGGTCTGTGGTCAGCACTTTGCCTAGATTGTTTCATTTAATCCTCACTGTGCAGGTGGAGAGATTCATATGGAGAGACGAAGTAATTTCCATAAGGGCAGATTTGAACCCATGGCTCTATCAATCCTTGGGAGCGATTATCTTTGTTAAAGTCATGTCATAAGTGAACTATGACATTAACAAAGGCCAGACATTACTGTGTCTCCCCACAGTGTCAGAATTTACTGAATGACTATAAATTCACGAGTGACACAAATTTCATCAACTTTATCAGGCCATGTCATCAAGATTCACTGGTAGTCAGCGAGCTGGGCAGTCACAGGTTCTTTTATGCCAATCTTAATGACCAATATCTATAATACGCAAGTCACATATCACACTCCAACATACGTAGGAAACAGAATGGCTAAGAAAGGGTTAGTGGTGGCAGCAGGATTCCAAGAGGAAGAATCAGAAGCTGAGGCAGAGATGTAAAAATGTCACCACATGTGGCCAGATCAGATCAGAGACCAGGTAGAGCTTCTCCAAGTAGGTGCTGGGGTCTACTTTGGACCTTAGAGTTGGTTCAAAGCTGGAGTCTGGAAGGCCAGCAGTTGGAGGGGCCTTGTCAAGCAAGGAGGTGGAGCTGAGCAGGAGCTGGGGCACAGAAAGCTTATCATTCTTGGTGCATTCACCAGCTGGTCCAATGAAATGACAATTCAAGGTGTCTATTAAATATGATGGAAAGCCAAGCACCATCCAACAGAAAGGCAGTTCATACAAATATGATGGTGTGTCCTTGTCCACCTTATTCATTGAATCTGGCCCCACTGTGGGACTTCTGGCTCTTTTCAAAGTCAAGATGACTATGAAAGGTAAACGCTTTAAATGGATTCACACTGAGGCAGCCACAATAGTGCGACTAAAGACCCTCAGGAAGGAGGACTTCCAGAACTGCTTCAAAAAGTGACAAGAACCGTGGGATGAGTATTTGCAGTGAGGGGAGGATTTCAAGGGGAATTCATGGCAAAGTGTCTTTTACTGTACTAAATAATAAAAGGCTTAAATATTCACCATGTGTTTTGGTCACACTTGTTTATGATCCAGGTGAGGAAGTGGCACATCTGTTGGTGTGGTGTGTCTGATGAACTCATGGGCCTTGTTTTCCCTATAGGACTTAGCCATACCCATATGTCTTTGATTTAACTGATTAAATTCACAGGTGGCTGTTTTGATTAGCTAGGTTCATTTTATTTTATCAGAAGATGCCTTGTGGTTGTTCTGTGCAACAGGGAGTTTTTTCTGAGAAGTTTGGTGTGTCCACCATCAGGTGGTGATCTATTTGGACAGATCAGTGACCAGGTCATTCTGCCTCAGCAGTTGTACTCCAAATAGAACATGCTGCTGCTGTATAACATGAAGTTACTCAGAGTAAAGCATAGCCTGAAAGCTACTACTCTATGAAACATGGAGTAACCCAAGCAGGACACAGCTTCCAATGTCCTTCGAATTTCTCCACAACTGTATCTTTAGTTGAACTGAAAATGCATTGAATATTCTGTGCGCACAAACCTTTACAATGAGATGCACTCAAAACATTGCAATTACAGTATCAAGTTGAATATCCTTCACCTGGGATTTTAGAATCACAGGCATTTCCCATTTTGAAATATTTGCATATATATAATGGGATATTTTGGGGATGAGACCCAAGTTTGTTTGTTTGCTTTTTGAGACAAGATCTTGATACATAGTCCAGTCTGGCCTTAACTCACTATATACCAGGCCGGCCTTGACTTCATAGTGATCCTCCTGCTTCAGCTTCCCAGGTTCTGGAATTACAGGCATGCGCCACCACACCTGGCTCTGATGGCCAGCTTTTATCAATGACTCTGCTCTTTCTGGTTATTGGCTCCCTTTGCAACAGAAGTGGAGAATGAAATGCTATCTTCTGCTTTCAAGACCTAAGTCACAATTCATTCCTAATTTCTTCCCCAGTGTTAGGAACCAGACCCAGGACTTTTCATGTGTTAGGCAAGCCCTCTACTACTGAGCTACATCTCTAGCTCCCATTCACTTTTATTCTCTGAAGTTTCCAACATAAAAGCCACCCCATTACTTATATGTTGATAAATGTATTCATTTTTTCCAGAAGAAAGAACAAGTCGCTCTTTTGAGTTCATTAGAGCTTTGGGGGAGAAACTGCACATTGCAGGATGGTGCCTGATTCTGCCCTTGAATGTAGAGGGCATGAGCCACATTCCTTTGCTTGATTACAGCAATCTCAGCTGTTTGCAGGGACAAGCATGGTTGTTACAGTGCTTTTGAGATGGGTTGGTTCATCTGTGCTCACTGTCTTCAGGACAGGGCTTGCTCTGCTCCCCAGGGCTCAGAGACACTGCGACCTAGGGTTTGCAGCTGTCCAAGCCACTCACACACATTCTGTCTATTCCAGGTGACCCTGGAACATCTGTATGACAGCAAAGCTCCACCAGTGCTCCACACAAGAATCACCTGCCTGTGGGCCCTGGGATAGAACAAGCCACTATAACAGAATAAACCCATTATAACAGAATACATGGCGGGGATTCCAGCAGTTCTAAATAAGGCTGGCGCATGAGGAGATGAAAACATTTTTTAACATGAACAGGAATTGGGCTGGCTCTCTGTGGATGGAAGGGTCTCCAGAGCTCCTCCAGCCTTGTCCCCATTCCTTTCCACTCCTCCTGCTCACATATCTTCCCTCAGTCTTTTTTTTTTTTTTGGTACCAGGGATCAAACTTGGGTCCTTGCAGACGCTGGAACCACTGAGCCAAATCCCCGGCCCATCTGCCCTCAATCTTATCCCCTAAAAGACCTGAGTCCTGAGGTTTTCACACAAACCATCACCTGCACTTTTTATTAATTACTCTATGAATGGATTTGAAAGCATCCACTTTGTTTTCAATCATGAATAACAGTTCAAGCCCTTCCCAGTGACCAGTGGAAGGAAATACCTAAAGAAGGACTGGACTAGAGAAAATAGAAATGTATAGACACATTAGGTAAAGTAATGTGGTAGTGGCACACGAGGAGGTAGCTAGCTAATGGGAAACACAAGAGTTGGCTAGAAATGGACCTGAGATATGGGAATTCAGTATGAAACTGAAACTGAATATAGAGAACATGGACAATTCTCTAAGTGATACTGGGACAACCAGATAGCCCCCTCCAAAATTCAGGGGTTACCAAAGTGATAGTTGTTTTTGTTTGTTTGTTTTGAGACAGTATCTCACTATGTAGTACAGGCTGACCTTAAACTTACTTTGTAGCTCAGGCTGGCCTCGAACTCAAGGTGATCCTGCTGCCCCAGCCTCTTGAGTGCTAGGATTATGGTTGTGCACCACCAGGACCAACTATAAAACTAATATTTTAGAAACACAAAAACATTTGAAATTTGTATTACAAGCCAGGCATGGTTACACACACCTATAATCCCAACAACTGAGAGGCTGAGGCAGCATGATGCTACTAGTTTGAGGCCACCCTGGACTATGTAGTGAGTTCAAGGCCAGCCTGAACTACATAGTGAGACCCTGTCTCAAAACAAAAACAAACAAAAAACCACAAATGCTTGTATTACAGAGGGATAAGCTATGGAATGTATTAAAATGTCCTACAACTGGTAAGTAAATAGAAAGATGGCAAAGAATACAGTTTCCAGAGAATAAAAGCAAGTGACTGTTAAACATATGAAAAAATGTTCACCTTCATTCAACATGAAAAAAATTAAAGTTATACTAGGATACCACTTTTTACTAATATCGGGTTAATGAAAAAATTTTAAAACTCTTTCTATATTGAGGCAGTGGGAAAATAAACATTCATGTTTTGTTGCTAAAACTAATATGTTTAAAATGTAATTTTTTTTTTTTTTTGGTACCGGGGATCAAAGTTGGGACCTTGCGCTATGAGGCAGGCGGCGGAACCACTGAGCTAAATCTCTGGCCCGATTAGAGTGTAATTTATCAATGTACTGAATAACAAAAATGAGAGAAAACATGAGATATATAATAAAATAGCATTTGGGAGTGATGAGGTACTGATAAATACCACAAAATGAGTGAGACTCGGAAAAGTGACTAGGGATTCAGATCTGTTCTGGCACACCATTCCGTACGTATCCAGTTGAAAGTTAGCTCAGTTTAGTGCTTTAAAAAATGGTTTTTTTTTTAAGTTTTTTTTTTGTGTTTTGTTTTTGTTTTTTAAAGACAAGATCTCACTATGTAGTTCAGTCTGACCTTGGAGTCATTGTGTAGCCCAGGCCGGTCTTGGACTTGTGGTGATCCTCCTGCCTTAGTCTCCTGAGTACTGGGATTATATGCGTGCGCCACCATGTCTGGCTAGTGCTTTTTTTTTTTAATCAAACATTCTTCCCTCTTTGTACTGTCTGAGAATCATCAATCTCAACAAAACAGGAAATGGGGATATTGCTCAGCGGTAGAGCATATGCTTAGTATGCACAAGACACTTCTCAAAAGAAGTTCAAATGGTCAATGAGTATATGAAAAATGCCCAATATCTTTAGCCACGAAGGAAATGCAAATGAAAACTGCTTTCAGACCCCAGCTTACCCCTTGCAGAGTGGCTATTATCAAGAAGAATACAAGAAACAATGTATGCTGGTGAAGATGTGGGGAAACCGAACCCTCCTACATTTCTGATACAAATCTAAACCAGAACAACCACTGTGGAAATAAGTATGGAGAATTTTCCAAAACTAAAAACAGAAGGACCATTAGATCAGCTATACCTCTCCAGGTATAATCTCATAAGAATTAAGGACAACACACAAGACCACAGAGTTCAATTCTTCCTTTAATGTGATTCATAGCCATTTTGACGACCTTCCGGTCAACCTCAGACTGTAGTGGCAGCCCCACTGGCTAGCTTTTTCCACATAACAGTTGAATGAACCGGGGTTTCACCAGAGTACTAGAAGCCATGTCTCTTGAAGTATTTGGCGCGTGCAAGGACATCATTGCAGAAGTCACATCTCAGGTCCTGGCCACTTCGGACAAAGCCAGCACCCCCACTGTAGGAGCACAACCCACCTGAAATGAAGGTGATAGGTTAATTCCAGGGGGCCTGGCAGCCCCTTGTTGCTGCAGGATAATCAGGAAAACAAATCTTAGATTCTCTTTCCTGACTGCCTAGCAGAAGGCAATTGTGGTTTGAGGGAGTGTAATGCAAGTATTAAATTTGCATGGATTCCGTTATACGTACCTCTCAGGTACTGGTCTGGGGTCCAGGTTGGAAATGTCCTCTGAATTTCTTTGATTCTAGTAGTCAGAACCTTAGTCATCTGGGAAACCTGGGACTCACTGATCCAGGATTTGGGAGCAAAATCATTTGTGTCCTAGAGGCAAAGAAGCAGAGGAAAAAATGGGTTAGCTGGGGTGGGGTGTGGGGTGTGCCAGGCCATGTGCTCAGTGTCTTCCTTTCCTCTCCCCTCTGCTCTTCTCATTCCACCTCTCGTGGAACCAATGCCAGCTTTGATTTCCCCGGGGGATTAAAGAGTAAAGCTACCTACACCTATAAGGGCCACCACTGTCAAAGACACAAAAGACAAGCATCGGTGAGGATGTGGGGGAACTGGAATACTCACATGCTGTTGAAGGGCATGAAAAGTGATACACCCACCATGGGAAGCAGTGCGGAGGTTCCCCAGAAAATTAAACTTAGAAATACACGTGATCTAGCAACTTCATGTCTGGGTATTTATCCAAAATAACTGAAATCAGGATCTCGAGGATAGTAGCACTCCTATATTCGCTCCGGGGCCATGCACACAGCCAAATGATAGGAACAACCAAGTGTCCGTGACAGATGAGTGGAGAGAAAGAGGTGGCACATACATACCATGGGGTATTGTTCAGCCTCACAAAGAGGCTTGTACCAAGGACAATGTATAGATAACCGTTGAGAGCGTCAGACTAAGTGAAATAAACTGGCCACAGGAAGACAAAAGTTAAATACCACATGATTCTACTCACACGAGGGGTCTGAAACAGTCCAACGTACAGACACAAAGAACAGATGTTCTAGACTAGGCTAGGAGGAAAGGGAAATGTAGAGCTGCTAGTTAACATGTGTAAAATTTCAGCTTTGCCACAAAAATGTTCTAGAAATCTGATGTGCAATATTGTACATGGAATTAATGCTACTGTATGATGTACAGTATGGTATTTATATTTATTTATTTTGGTGCTGGGGATCAAACTCAGGGAGGGCCTTGCACTTGCGAGGCAGTTGGTGGCATCATGGAGCTAAATCCCCAGTCCCAGTAAGGTATTTTAAATAAAATCTATAAAGAGATCTCATGTTAAACATCCCAACCAAGAAAAAATATGTTAAGCGACAGTTTGGGCTAAGGAACGATGAACGGTCATTGCATCGCTGCCTCAGGGTAAGGGTGCGAGGTCCAGCTGGAGACCAGAGATGACTGAGTTTGTGTAGATACCACTGCAGTGCCCTTCAATGCTGCAAATTCAAAACTCCCCATTAAAAAGAGGCTGTCTGACCTGGAAATTTTCTTTCCAGTGATGGGGGTGTCTGAGAGGACTTCTAATCTGTTTTATATCCCTTTGGTTTTCACTCTCACCCTGGGTTCAGATTATTTAGGAGAAATGTCTCAATTCTGGGATTCTATTTCATCTTCAAAGGAAGCCAACTCATCCTTTTCCCTAAGAACCAGGTGTTACAAAGGAGCCAGCAGGGGGCAGCAGTAATAATGCCAACCCTGGCCTCACAAGATGTCTTTTGTTCCAGGTGTATGGTTTCCAGAGTGATTTTTACACTCCCTTGTGAGTCCATTTCCTCGTTTGTCAAGTTTGGATTGTGGATCCTCAAATCAATGAGATAAGTTATTTGAGAGAACTTTGATTTACAGTTTCATACAAGGAACTACTGATGTAAAACCAATTTAAGAATCATGTAATGATAAATGTTCTTAAAAGTTTAAGAAATGACTGTGATTCTCACAGGTTTCTCGGCAATAGTCTGAGATACAGTAGGAAGATACAGTGGACTCAACTTTGCTGTCATCGATCCCTGTTGAGAATTCATCAGTGCATTCTGACCAGTTTCTCAGAGGTCTCTTCCCAAGGTATGCCAGAATATCAGTCAACAAAATTGAAGATGTAATTAAAAACCTAACAACAACAACAACAACAACAACAAGCCTAGGCCCTGATGGATTCACTGCTGAATTCTACAAGATATTTATAGAAGACCTAATGCCACTACTTCTCAAACTCAGATTGAAAAGGAAGCAACACTCCCAAATTCATTCCTGGAAGCAAGCATTACTCTGATACAGAAGCTAGAGAAGGATCCAACCAAAAAAGAGAACTACAGGCCAATCTCCCTAACAAACATAGATGCAAAAATCCTCAATAAGATACTGGCAACCAGAATAAAGAAAATCATCAAGAAGGTTATACACTGTAAGCAAGGTGGACTTATCCCAGGGATGCAGGGATGGTTTAACATACACAAATCAATTAGTGTAATATACTATATTAACAGAGCCATGGACAAAAATCATATGACCCTCCCAACAGATGCAGAAAAAAACATTTGATAAGGTTCAACATCCTTTTGTGATTAAAAAAAAAACCCTACAGAAAATGGGAATAGATGGTCTTTATCTCAATCTGATAACAACCATCTACAGCAAAACAATAGCCAATATCATGCTAAACAAAAAATAAAAGAATTCATTCTAAAATCAGGAACAAGACAAGGATGTCCACTGTCACCACTCTTGATCAATATAATTCTAGAAACATTAGCCAGAGCAATTAGACAAGAGAAAGAGATAAAAGGGATAAGGATAAGAAAGTAAGAAGTTAAATTCTCATTATATGTAGATGACATGATACTCTACAGAAATGATCCCAAAAGTTCCACAAAAAGACTTCTAGATTTAATAACCAAATTCAGTACTGTAGCTGGATACAAAGTCAACCCTAAAAATTCAGTAGCCTTCCTGTACACAAATAACAAACTCATTGAGAGAGGAATTAGAAAACTACAATTTTCATAACAACATCCAAAAAAATGAAATACCCAGGAATCTAATAAAGGAAGTAGAACACTTTTACATGGAAAACTATGGTACTCTGAGAAAGGAAATTAAAGAGGATATCAGGAAATGGAAAGGTATCCCTTTCTTGGGTAAGAAGAACCAATATAGTGAAAATGGCCATACTTCCAAAATTGTTATACAGATTTAAAGCAATTCTTATCAAAATTCTAATAGTATATCTCACAGAATTAGAAAAAAATAATCCTAAAGTTCATTTGAAACCAGAAGAGATCTATAATAGCAAAGGCAATTATGGGCAACAAAGTCAAGGCAGAGATATGACAATTCCTGACTTGAAATTATACTACAAAGCTACTGTGATAAAAACAGCATGGCACTGGCAAAACAAAAATAAAAACAGGACCAAGGGAACATACTAACAGATACAGAAACAACTCCAGACATACTCAGCCACCTCATCTTTGACAAAGGAGCTGAACACCTTCACTGGAAAAAGATGGTCTTTTTAATAAATGGTACTGGAAAAACTGGCTTTCCACACCCTGAATATTGAAACTAGACCTGTATCTTTCACCATGCACTAACCTAAAATCAAAATGGATCAAAGATCTAAATATTAAAACAGAAATACTAAATCTGCTGGAAGAGAGAATAGGTAGAAGTCTCCAAGACATTGGTGTAGGCAAAGACTATGAGCAAAACCTCAGTTGCACAGGAACTACCACAAAGAATCAACAACAGGGATCTCATCTTATTAAAAAGTTTTTGCACAACAAGAGAAACCACCAACAGGATGAAGAGACAACCCACAGTGTGGGAAAAAATTCTTGCCTACTGTTCCTCAAAGGACTACTATCTAGAATATATAAAGAACGCAAAAGTCAGATCCCCTCAAATTTGAAGACCCAATCCAAAAGCAGGCATCTGAAATTAATAGATACTTCTCAGATGAAGAAGTAGAAATGGCCAATAAATATATGAAAAAGTGTTCAACATCACTGGTCCTTGGAGAGATGCAGATGAAAACAACATTGAGATTGTACCTCACCTCAGAAAGAATGGCTGCTATCAAGAAATCAACCAATAACAAATGCTGTGGGGCTGTGGGGAAAAAGTAACCCTTCTCCACTGCTGGTGGGCATGTAGACTGGTGCAATTGTTACTGAAAGAATCAGTGACACACAGAGAGGCAGTAGAATGGAAGAAAAATGACAAATTTACTTGTTGATAAGGGTTTGCACATAAGCTGTGCCTGGATCAATGATGTACTGGGTTACAACTCCTCTTTTCATAGGATTTTACAGCCTTGACTTCATTTGGGTGGTTACATTTCATTCTCACAGTTCAAATCATGATCACAGGACAGTTAACTTTCAACCCAGATGTAACAGTTCTTTGCAGTTGGGGAGTTTACCTTTAAGATTTGCCTAGTTATTTATTCTAGTCCGTAGGAAGAGAGGCATTCAGGGTCAGGGGAGCAAACATTAGTGATGGGTTCTTTCATCTAGACACTCTTACAATCATGTGGCTCCAGTGTCTTTGGAGCTCAAGGTCTTGATGTGCCCTGTTATCTCAGGGTAAGACCAAATGCCTCATTCAGCAATTAGTGCCTTTGGTGCCCATCAGTTCTGAGCAAAACAAACTGCTGTTAGAGACAGCAGAAGCCATTTTACATTGTAACACTTTATAGGTTTTTGCTATTTATGAAAGTTTTCCCTATCACAACCACTGTGGAAATCAAGGTGGAGATTTCTTAAAGGACTAAAACTGGAGGTTCCATTAGACTTCCCCTTGTTGGTATCTTCCCAAAAGAATTAAAAGAATTGGGTCAGGGACTTAGCTCAGTGGCGCTGCCACCTGCCTCACAAGTTCAAGGTCCCAAGTTTGATCCCCAAGCAAACAAACAAAAAAATTAAAAGAATCATACTACGCAATATAGGCACATCGATAGTCATAGCAGCACAGTTTGTAATAGATAAATCTTGGAAACAGCCCAAATGCTCAACCAATGAATGGATAAAAAAGATGTGTTTTTATACAATGAAGTACTACTGTGCCATAAAGAAGGATGAGCTTGAGACATTTATAGATAAATGGATATGCCTTGAGACCATACTCTTATGAAAAATAAATCAAACACGCAGTTTTAAATACTGCATTGCTTCTCTGGTGTAAGAAACCAAAAGTTGAAATAAGGACTAAAATATAATAGATATTGCGAAATGGGGAGAAAATGTTCAATTGGGAAGAGGAACAAGGGAGGAGGGAGGGGAAAAAGAAAGAAGGGACAAGAAAAAAGAGAAAAAGGAAAAAATGGAAACAAAGCACTTGTACATAAGGGAGGAGGGGTGGGGGAAAATAAGAAACAAGGTATATCATGTACTGGTACAAATTTCCTATGATAAATGTTATCGTTATGTATATCTAAAATACTGATAAATGTTTTGCTAAACAAAACAAGTTATGCCAGGCAAAGATAGTACACAAATAAAACTTGGCCTTCAGAAAGAGTTGTGTGGGGGAAAAGAACGTAGCATTTGTTGCCTATCTACCAGATACCAGGCACTTTTTCCACATTATTTCATTAAATCTTCATAATAATCTAAGAGAATGGTATTTTAGGGCTAAGGCTACAGTTCAGCAGTAGAGCATTTGCCTAGCATGTACAAGGCTCTGGGTTTGACCTGTAGCAATAGAAATAAAAGAATGACATTTTATTGACCAGGAAACAGAGCCTAATGAGGTTAAATGACGTACTGAAGGTCATATGGCTAGGAATGAACACAGCAAGGATACCATCTCTATGTTTTTCCTGCCCCTGACTTGTTAGAAATCCAGAATAGGGTGCCCAGGCTGATATTATGAAAATACAGCATTATTTAATTGAAAAGAAATTGCGGCTCCAAGTGAGGCAAAAATGGTGCAGCTAGTATCTTTCAGGCAGAACTGAGAACTCCAAACTCTGGGCAGGATTACCTAAGGTGTATTCTACGGAGCTATGCTGTGAACAGCAGAAACAGGCAGGGATGTCTTTGCATTGTGTCACCCGCAGAAGGGCCACACATGATACTGACTGATGGAGAGCTACCTGTACCACGTTGACTGGAACACCCATGTTGACTGGAACACTGCCCCGGAGAGACTCCCTGGACAGTACCCCAGCGATCACTGCAGGATCCATGCAGTACTTCCGGCCAACCATCTGCACCATGGGCTGGTATCTCAGCAGGTAAGGCAGGTCTATTTCAGCCAGCCTTTCAGAAGCACGGACTCCTAGAAGCAGGAGGAAGGATACAGTTCAGGGTAACTTACTCAAAAGGGAGCCGGTGAGGAGAGAGAGACCTGGTAGCCCAGGGTTTCATCCTAAATCCCCGGTGACACTCCCTGACCTGAGATTAAGATCCTCTTCCTGAGATTGAGCCAGGGTACCTTCCATGCCTCTCCTGAGACAGATGTCCTCTGTGGCCACCCCTCAGTCAGGCTTCTGATGCAATTCTGTGGCCATGGGCACTACTGGGCCCCTCCTAATCACCCCAGACAGGGTTCCCATCAAAATGTTCAGTGCCCATCCCTCTGCCAGGTGGGCATATACTGTAGAGGGAGTTCCGCTAAACACTTCAAGAAGTCCTTGGAGGCCCGCCCCCTCAATGGCTTTGCCTGATTGGCCACCTTTCCACTCCTAAGTGACACCAAGAAATCACGTGTGTTTAACCCCTTATCTAACAAGAATGCTAGGAACAATGAAAATTGACACTAATTTAGCTGGCTGGCCTCACCTTCTAAGCATGTATGGTTTATGAAGCACTCTCATTCCATGGCACTGATCAGAGTTCACCACAACACTATAAAGATTGTCACCCCCACCATTCAAAGGAGGTTTGGGGAAGCTGAGTGACTTTGTTGGAGAAGCACAGCCAGGACTCTGAAAAGGTCTTTGGAGTCAAGGTCCAGTGTTCTCACCATTCCTTGGCTTGGGTCATAGCAGCAGCCTAGAGGCTGCATCAAAAGAGCAAGAGGAGATGGAGATATAACTACCACAGTAGGTCAGGCCATAACGTCTTCCAATCCCACAGGATGCTCCAGGGGTGTCCAGGGCTCGGATGTTCCCGTAGCACCCCCAGTTGCTGCTTTCAGATGAGTCTGCAGATTGAGAGAGCTTTAGCTTTAGGCACTGCACTAGAATAGTCCTCACCATCCTTCTGTTTACAAATGAAATGACATTAAAAAAGGCAACTATGACTGATGAATAATAAGAATTTGAGTCTGTAATCAAAACTATAGGAATTTATCCAACAGTATCCTAAGAAATTATCACAGACAATGCTATGATACTAAATTCTCCCCTCCTGTCCTGCAGACATGAGGAGCTACTGCGGCAGTTCTGATCTTTGCAAAGCTCAGGGGCTGTCTGATGCTGCTGGGTATGGGTCTTGGAATAAATCAGAGATTATCTGTTTCCTGAACTCTAGTCTTCATCTTATCTCCCTCAGCGTACTCTGAAACATTCACGACTCCTTGGTCCTGCGAGATGTTCATGGAGAACATCTAGAGAAACACAGATAACACTAGAGTCTCAGGGAATCTCAACTCAGACCCCGAGGAAAGTCACTGCCCATATACTTCACCTTCATAGCTTCACCTTCTCTTGGTGCATTCTAGATGGAGACCCTAGGTTGAAAAGAGGGGGTGTGCATGTGAGGCATAGGGCCAGGTCTCTACATGGCAGGGTCTCTCTTCTGCTTTTTCCCTGTCTCTCTTTGCATCTTTCTTGTTTTTGTTTTTTGTTTTTTTTTTTTTTTTTTTTTTTTGTACTGGGGATTGAACTCTGGTCCTTGCGCTTGCAAGGCAGGCCACCAAACCGCTGAGCTAAATCCCCGGCCCTGCATCTTTCTTTACTGGGAGTTTAGTCGCCACTGAAAGGGAGATGTTGTTTTAGACACTACTGAAATTTTACAAAGGCCCTGTAAGAGAAGAGTGTTTCTTCTTTTCACACCTGAATGAGGGTTGATGAGTACTAATAATAGATAACTGAACCTCTATATCTGTGGGTTCTGAACCTATGGTTTCTTTCTTTCTTTCTTTTTTTTTTTTTTGGTACTGGGGATCAAACTCGGGACCTTGCACTGTGAGGTAGGTGGTGGAACCATTGAGCTAAATCACCAGCTCATCTGCACCTATGGTTTCAACTAATTGGAAATAAAAAATTTTTAGGAAAAATATTGCCTGTTCTGAACGAGCACAGACTTTGGTGCTTGTCATTATTCACTAAGTAATACAGTTTAACAAACATTTGCATAGCCTTTGTATTATATTAGCAATGATATGTAATCTAGATAGGTAACTTAATGAGGATGGGAGGACTAGCGCAGGTTCTGTGAAGACGCCACTCCATTTCATAGAAGGGACTTGAGCGTCTGAAGATCTGGGTATCTTGTATCCTGACTCATGACTATAAATTCACAGTGGGGACTGGATAAGGGCATGTGAGCCAGTAATAAGATACCTTTACGTGCCAGGAAATTGTTCCCTGTAAGAAATTTCTCATCACTGTAAGTCAATAAGAACTTCTCAGTAGAGTCCTTTCTGAAATAGTATTTTTTTCAATAATAAGGATTTTTTTCTTTTCTATCATATAATATTCATATCATATTCGTGATACATAATACATTCATCTTATTCTTTGACTCAAGCATGTTGCCTTGTCAAATCTTAATGATTTGGACATCTTTGGAAATACATCTACCGCATATATCAATATGTGGTCCATTTGTTTGCATAAATGCGTTTCTAGGTTAAGTGTTCTTATGGCCTCAAGGGGTCAATGTCCAGTAATACTAGTATTTTAGAGTAAATGCTTCTACCTCCCAAACTTGGGATGAGTGATGTGGAAATGAAAAGACCTGGTGCTTTATGAGTATATTAAAAATTGAACAAGCCAATGTGTTCTTTTAATTTTTTAAAACCAGTACGCTTTTGTCTTTCTGATTGGTCACAAATGTCCTCAAGTCATGCTTGGTTGTCACTCCTTGCTCCTGCCCTTGTGCACTGCTCCCTAGCCACATTCTGTGATGCTCAACTTTCCTCATATTCCTGGTGCTTAGCACCTTGTAGGAATTTAAAAATATTTGTTAAAGGACTGAGCCAATGAATGAATGAATGTAAGGCATTTTTAAATTTAGAGAAAGGAGAAGTTTTGTACCTTCTGAGGAACTATGATTCCTCATTTTATTTATCAAAGAACTAATGCTTTCACTTTTTGTCCCAGCTGCAAGGAACGTTAGGCCCAATGCAGAAGCACAATGGCAGCAGCTGGGTGGTTTATTGGCTTGGGCCCATCTTGACAGCTTTTCTACTAGTTTTCCATTTGAATTACATAAATCTTATTGCTGCAACCACTTCAACCTTTCAGTGGAATACACGGTCTATAAATAAATTCAACCGATACTTTTTATAGTGGGAAATTGGTCCTTATTATTGGTGTATGATTAAAGTCTGGGCTCGAGCAACCCTGTTTTAAAGTCCACCCCGAATTCTGGGGAAACCCAACCTTTCATGAGGTATTGGGGGAGAGACTGCTTGTCAGTGACCATTCCTAACTCCAGGGTTTACTGGGCATTTTAGAAGAAAGATAACATTTCCGCTGCAATTTAGGGCATTACAGTACCACTATGTTCTTGTGCTTCCTTGTCCCATCTCCAAGGTGGTTTGAAAAATAAAACTCACTCACCAGTCAGGGCCAGGAGGCCCAGAAGCAGCCACAATACAGACATATTGAAGATCTGGTTCCGCTGCTCCTGAAATGCTTTGAAAATGAACATTAGCTTGAAGATGTAAAAAGTCCATCATTGTCATTATAGTGTGTAACATTTCTTGGCAGGGGAAAATGAATGGAACAGGTTTTCCCATATCAGAAGTAGGAAAAACAATGAGCAAAATCACCATCATACACACACATGAAGCAAAAGTAGGACAAGTGCTCCATCTTTCCTTAAAGAGGAGATTTCTACTTGTACCACAGGGATGAGACACAGCATCAAGACACCGAGAGCCAGCAAGAAGTCAAGATACTTTCATTCTGGATGACCAGAAATACCAGGACCCACTCAAGTCCCTGAAAAGCCAACTTTTGATGTGTCTTATCCAAAGGGCCTCTTCATTACCCAACGATAATGTGCAAAGAAGAGTTTTGGGTTGCTGGTGTCCCTGCTTTGGGTTCTTTGCCCTTTAGGTAGGAGAACGGGTCAATTGTTCTTGGTGCCTCGGGACATATGCTGATTCTTTACTTGGAGATGAAGGAAGGAGTCAGAAGTCATTCCCCATTGCTCTTGTCCCCACATCTCCAGATCACCTTAGTCACCTTGAATGGTGTTCTTTGTTCTTCCTCTTTAGCACACTCCTAGCCCACCCACGCTGGGGATCCAATCCGGGGTCTTCACACTGAGGTATATCCCCAGACTTTTTAAAAATTTTATCACAGGGTCTAAGTCACTCAGTTGCCTAGGCTGGGCTCTTAACTTGCAATCCTTCTGCCTCAGCCTCCCAGAGTTCTGGGATTATAGGCATGCACCACCATGCCCATCTTGTAAAAACTCTTGAGCCAGAACTCAGGAGGATAGAAAGATAACCACCTGAGAAGCCAGGTCAGGGGCAGGGGCCCTAGATGAACTCAGCAAGTGCTTGCTCGAGGGGAGAATGGATAACCACCCATGGTCAAGCATGTGCTCCCTGCTTTCTCTCTCTCAGCCCAATGCCTCCTCTCCACATTTTGCACCTTGCATGAGTACAAGGAGCCCCAGCTCTCCCAGCACCCACTACACACGCACACACACACACACACCAGAACAGCTCACAGTTGGCTGGACCCCTGCCCCACAGCATCCACCTCCACCAACCTTTTCTGTTGTCTTTCAGGATCAGCAGAGCCCACAGCCTGTCATTTGGAGTTATTACTATCATTACCTGCAGGAGCCTGTGTGGCAACTTGGTGCTTTGCATATTTCTTTTGTGGTGTTTAGAAACAAACCTAGGTCCTTGCTCAGGCAAGATCTCTACTATTAAGCTGTAACCCCAGCCCTCTTTTGGTTCAAAGTTATTTTTATGGGCAATTTCCTCCAAATACTCAGGAAGACATGATGTCCTCAGATAGAAAGTTCCATAATAGTCATTGTTGTTTTGGTGGTTTATTTGTTTTGCGGTACTGGTGATTAAATCCAGGGCCTTCACAATGAGCTACATACCCTATAGCCCTTTGAAATTTCATTCTTTGCTTTTAACACAGGGTCTCACTAAGACACTCAGTTGCCCAGGCTGGGCCTCTAACTTGCCATCTTCCTGCCTCAGCCTCCCAGAGTGCTGGGATGACAGAAATATTCCACCACAGCTAATGAGTTCCATCTTCTTAAAGGAGCAGAGGGCCTTCAGATGAAGCCACACTTTTAGCCTCTTTTCCCTGCAACATTAGGGTGGTCTGTGGATTTTGCTTAGTTGAACAGAAAATGTCACGCTCAGTTGTCAGGAAGGTACAGGAACTTAGGTTTTTAGCTGTGTTGGTGGAACCCTAGGATTGAATCCACAGGAATGAATTATTCAGCATCCCTGAGCCCCCCGCACTGATTGCAAGAGGACAATCAATTCAGGAAAAAAGAATGGAGAAAGCTGCTCTGGCACAGAAAAAGCCCACAGTCTCATGAAATCTGTCTTACACATGTATCTCACTGGTTTCATGGAAAGGAGCCTTAGAAAAAAGCACTGCTTGCAATCAAATGCTAAGCCTAGGGTGTTTCACTCTTTCCAGGCTTTTCTAGGAAAGAAAGATGCTTCCCCTTGGAAACTCAACACAGCTTTTGTTGCAACATGAGAGCCACCTTATTTTCCAAACACAGAACTGACTTCTGTGCTGAGCAGGAATGCCTGAGTTTGTGCAAATAAATGTGCCAGTTATTAAGTAGCCCAGTCACTTTCTGGTTGTCCATGAGACCAGAATCTTTTTCAGTTACATCAGGGAAGAGCAAGAAGTGTCAATGCACTTCTCATATGAATGGGCAAAATGTTCCACCCCAAAACCTATAAACATAGTAGTAAAAGGAATCCAAACTCCATGACCCAACTTCACAGGTGCCCAAAAGCACTATTTGGAAGGAAGTATTGAGGCATCATGGGGTGTGCCCGTGGACTGTCCACTGGTTACCTAGAGTGAATTTATTAATACCTCTGTGGCTCCCTGGACACTATGACAGTGCCAGTCCAGGTCAAATATGGCATCTTGATGCCAAGCACAATATATATGGTAGCATCACTCTTCTGCCACCTTGAAGAGCAAGCCAGTAGCTCACAGCAGGGGGCTGTTAACAGGCCGGAGCAACGTGCCACCCTAGAAAGTGGCAACCAGAGCCAAGTTCCTGGTGGCCTTGATCAGGATGTCTTCCTCTACCTAACTTCTTTCCACGACATTTTCTAATTCTCAAAGCATTGTTTAGATTCATAAGAGACAAGAATCATTCCTTCCTTTGCTCAACAGTTTTCCTGGAAAAAGTAGAAAGAAGGGACTTTGATCTTTGTGGTTCTCGCTATAGAAATCCCATTCCTTTTCCATGAATGCTCTTGATCTTCATCTTAACCTTGAATGAGAGCACCCCAGGTCCTCGGGGCCCTCCAACTAGCTTGGAATTGTGCTGCATTAAATACCCCGACATGCTGAGAGATGAGGGTGGCCCTGGCTCACTGTGGTCCGCATTTGATCCTGAAGGATTCAAGAAGTGCTCTGTCTGCGTTAGGCGGGGTCTCCCACTCCAAACTGTGTTGTTGCCTTGTGGTTGCTAATGAGTCCCCACCTGCTCCCTGAGGGCTGAGGGCCCTTTCCAGGAGCATCATGTCTCAGTCATTACCCATCCTGCTGTCTTGTTCTTCCCCTGACTCCCACCCCCCAGCAACTCTCTGGCCCATTATTTTGCATCAACAATTTGCATCAACAGTCCTTAAATTAAAAGGATGACAGCAACAACAGTCACACATGCAAAATGCTTCTGCCCTGGAAGGCACTTTCCCAAGAAAAAAAGAATCTAACATTTTAGCATAACGTAGAAGGCAGCAGTGTGACAGCTCATTTCAAACTGTCACTGTTCACAGACTGCTTTTTTATACCATCTGTGGAAAAGCATATTTGCTGAATTTGGACTGTGAGCCACGATGACCAGCCCAGAAAACCTCAGAAGGGTAGACTAGTTCTCTTGCCTCTCTCAAGGGAAATCCTTTCCTTGTTGAGAAGACTGAGCCATGAAAGGAGCTTCTTTCTGCTGCACCTGCTTTTCCTCACTTGACCCATTTGGGTTTCCCAGAGCTGAGAGCCCAAGGATAGCTGTTTTCCTCATGGTGGAGACCTGTTCTGGAGTTGCCCCTTTTCAACAAAGGACAAATAAGAGACTCTGGTCTCTTTGTTCCATCGATAGACTCACCTATCCTTTTACTCTATTAGCCAAGACACCAACTGGTAGGCACACTGGCCTTAGTGCTTCCTCAGCTTCCAGAGAACATAGGCCTCTGTTGTAGACTCACCAAGTGTCTGGGTTAACATAACACTGGCAATATTGAACGCGAGGGCAGGGAAGAGATTTGTAATTTGGTGAAATACAAACACCTTACTCCTCTGGCTCTGAATTCACAGAAAAGCCATCCCACTTGACCTGTGACTGCAATGCACACATATTTCTCTTCTCCCATTCTTTGTTTGTACATGCACACAAATCCTAAAGAAAACATATATTGGCCCTAAAAGAAATCTACAGCTGCATAAGCATTGTAATGAACAGGAAAAAAATTATTCATCATTTACACATCTTTTAAAGCTTGAGTTTTCACTGCAAAGTCTGTGAGTTTCATCTGATCCAATTTTTCTTATTTACTCTACAGCAGAACACAACCATTATCAGTCCACCACCATACAATGGAGTTTTTCACCCTGTTAGCCCGGTGCAGGTTCTATACCTGTTTTACACTCACCTGTCTTTAGTTAGCTCTTAGCCTTAGAGGCAGTGAATCCACAGAGCTTTATATACAACTCCATCCTGCTGCTGCTTTTTAGAAGAGTTGACCTCACCCAATTATAAGATTTATAGCTAAATCCCATAAATTATAGTAATAATCATAATAATTACAAATACTTTGAACTTATATAAGGCCTTTTATTCAAGAATGTCCTGGCATTTTTGCAAACATTAACCAATTAGTTTCTTACCACACCTCAGAGTGGAGATCCTAATTGTAGGTTCCTGTGAATACTTTAGGTCTGGCATTTGTCTTTATTCACACGTTTCTGGGAACAGGGCTAAGTAAGAAAGAAAGGAAGGATGGAGAAATAAAGTGAAGGGTAAGGAAGAGAAGAAGGGAGATTGAGACAGAATGAGACAGAGAGAAGGGAAAACAGAAAGAAGGAAGGAAGGAAGGAAGGGATATTTGGACCAAGCAGAGCTTCTAGGCAGGGGTCACTGATTGCACATTCCGCACTCAGACTTTGATTAGGATTTTGCTGTTCTTTACCCATGGCTGAGATGGTGAAATCACAAGACAGGACACCACAATCAACAATCCAGACCCCAACACCCAGGGAGTCCCCAAGTCCTAAATTTGGGAGATGAGCATGGGAATCCTCAGCTCCTCTTTGTGACAGGCAGAGTTAGGGTAAAAAGTAGAGAAATAATATATTGCATTAAAGGTCACAGCACACCCCTCCCCATGGGTCCCTTTCTCTCTATTTTGTCAAATAGTGGCTAGCACA